ATCGCCATCTCTACGGGACGGCTTAGGTCCATCGGGACCATCCGGGGGAGGAGATATCGGCTGCCACCCTGGGAGCCCAGGACCGCCCGCCGTATCGCCGCGACGCCAGCTCCGCCCTCCTCTCGTGAATTCATCCTTGAGGGAGGGAGTATTCCCAGTGCCTTTAAAGAGGCCCTAGTACATCCCCTCCTCAAGAAACAATCACCGGATCCCACCATATTGGACAATTTTTGTCCAGTCTCCCACCTCCCCTTTTTAGGGAAGGTGGTTGAGAACGTGGTGGCATTGCAGCTCCAGAGGATCTGGGCGGGAACGGATTATCTGGACCCTTTTCAGTCAGGTTTCAGGCCTGGATTTGGGACAGAAATGGCATTGGTCACACTCATGGATGATCTCGGGTGGAGCAGGATGGGGGTTGTGCATCCATTTTTGTTCTTTTTGACCTCTCAGCGGCTTTCAATACCTTCAACCATTTTGGGTCTACTTAGGGAGTTGGGAGTGGGCAGCATAGTTTTGCATGGATTCTCTTCCTTTCTCCAAGGTCGATCCCAATCAGCGTTGATTGGGAGCAAGAGATCCAGCCCATGGCCTCACCATTGTTGGATGCTGCAGGGTTTGGTACTCTCTCCGCTCCTTTTTAACATCTACATAAAACTACTGGGTGAGATCATCCACCATCATGGGATGAGGTATCATCAATACACAGATGATACCCAGTTATACATCTCCATCCCGGGTGACTTGAGTGATGCTGTGACGACTCTTTCACAGTGCCTGGAGGCTGTGGGAGTCTGGATAGGGTGCAATGGGCTTCAACTGAACCCTGGTAAGATGGAGTGGCTGTGGATTGCAGGCCCCTCTGTATCCGAGTGTTACCATCTTTGGTTTCGGACAGGGTGGCACTGCCCCAGACAGACCTGGTGCATAATCTGGGGATCCTCCTGGACTCATGACTCCTGCTCAAGGAGCAGGTGGCAGTCATGGCCAGGAGGGCCTTTGCCCACCTTCGTGTGGTGTTCCAGTTATACCCTTTCCTGGATCAGGAGGCTCTCCAGTCAGTCACTCATGCCCTGGTCATCTATCGTTTAGACTACTATAATGTGCTTTACACAGGGCTACCCTTAAAGAGTATCCTGAAGCTACAGCTGGTTCAAAATGCAGCCACGCGGACAATCCTGAGTGGCCCAAGAATGGGTCATATAACACCTTTACTGTGGGAGCTACATTGGGTCCCAGTCTGTTTCTGTGTCCAATTCAAGGTGTTGGTTATGACCTTTAAAGCCCTACATGGCATGGGTCCAGGTTACCTGAGGGACCATAATACCCCGTTACATCAACCCATCCCACCCAGTCAGGCAGAGAGGGCTTGTTGTGGACCCCGTCAGCGAGAGAATGTCAGCTGGTGGGGCCCAGGAGAAGTGCCTTCTCTGCCGTTGCCCCCACCCTTTGGAATATTCTCCCCCCAGGGGTGTGGTGGGCCCTTACCCTCCTAGCTTTCCAGAAAGGGATAAAGACCTGGCTCTGCCAGCTTATGTGGGATGATAAAAGCTCTCATGAAACCTGGGGGTGGCTGGCACCCTGATGATGCTCTCTAAGCTACTCGCCAATTCCATCAATTCTTGGAATTTATTAACTATTTAAAATTGCTTTTATATTGTATTTTAATTGCTTTTATCTTTTCTTTAAACCACCTAGAGTGATTTTTTTAAGGAGATAGGCAGTGACAAATTTGATAAATAAAATTAAGTTACTCTTGTATTCACTGTAATATGAATGTTGCATTGACGGTATACCTAAGAACACTTAGATTGTTAAGACTCTTTCTCCATAAATGATATCAGAGCAAGGAACTCTGGACTCTTGTTACTTTCAGTTTAAATCTATTAAGCTCTAATCCAGTGGTTTAGAGTTTACAGCCACTTCCATCATGGGAAAAACTACTATAGAGTTTGAAACCAATAGGAGAGACACACCCCTACCCCACCACTAATCTTTTTTTCATCCTACTGGGTATGCATCTACCATGTTTTGTTAGTTTGCTAGTCTGCCTTTCCCACCCTATAGAATTGCTTTGCTAAATTATTAGCATAGCTTTTAAGTTCCTCCACAACCTCTTATCTAAAGTTCAGGAACTACAGAGAATGAATGGACTTCATTACAAACATAGACATCCCCCCCTCCAAAAAAAAGAAGAGATCACCATAGTAAATACATTGCATGAATGTTAATAGTTATAACTCATGTCAGGGTGGAGATTACACACAGTATAACAAAATTTAGCAATGCTTAGGGATACAGAATTACCTTTGTTGTCTAATAGGTAATTTAAGTAAAATAAGTCAGAATGCCCTGGAAATTTAGAAAGGTGAGGGGAGATCAACTGCAAATGAGGATCTCTGTAGAACGTAGTATAACAAAACGTAGGCTGAGGTTTCTATTGAACATGCATCACAAGGGCATCATCGTTCAGCAAACGGGATTTTCCTGTTATTTTCCTTCCAATACTGCTGTGGGGAGGCCATTAAAACAAGCCAAGGATAATGATCTTCTGAAGTTTGAAAACATGATCTTGTCCAGATAACTACAGAAAAGAGAATGTGTATGAACGAATGAGAAGTTGCTCTGGGCTTTAAAATTGGCTTCAAGCAGTATGCTTTCCACTGATTTCTAAAAAATGCAACAAATAGTTATTTCTAAATGAGCAAGCTGAGGAGTGTGCCAGGTTTCCACCCCTGAGGCCCCATCTCCAATGGGATGCAGCCCCCTCCTTTTGAAAGAGCTTGTCCCCTGAGATCAGGATGGCCCCTTATTATTATCAAGCAGTGCAAAAAAAGTGCCTTTTCACAAGGCCATTGGGGAGGAGAGCTTGGGCTTTGACTACATCAACCTTACAATAATTGTGATTATGTTCATTCTGCATATGTCTTATTAGATATGATTGTAAGCTGCCTAAAAAATATGACATAGGTGGCATACAAATACAGATTTAGCGTGTTTAATGAATAAAACAAGTAATGCAATAATTGAGATATAAGTAATTAAATAATGATTTAAACAAATCATTCTCACTTTACATTATTACAACAAATAATGATTACTTTGCTGGAGCAGATCGACTTATTTTGT